AGCCGAGAGCAGCCGAGAGCAGCCGAGATCAGCCGAGAGCAGCCGAGAGCAGCCGAGAGCAGCCGAGATTGCATCTCACGCACCTTCAGCCTCGCCACAAGCGCCTTGATGCCGCGATCCTCCGGCGGTGCTGCACCTCCCCCTCCTCCTCCTCCTCCTCCCCCTTCTCCTCCTCCTCCGCCGCCGCCGCCCCCGCCCTCAGCGCCGCCGTCCTCGCCGCCCGCCGCGGCGGTGGCAGACGCGGCGCCGACTCCGCCCCCGTTCACCGCCGCTTCGCCCGTTGCGCCCGCCGAGGCTGCCGAATCGGCGGCAAGCGCCTGCTGCGACGCCGCGCCAGCTGCCGCCGCCCCCGGCACCGCTGCCGACAGCGGCGGGAGGGCCGCCTGCAGGGACCGCTTCGGCAGCGGCTTGAGCTCCTTGCGCAGCGCGTCGGAGAGTAGGCGGAGGGGGGTGTGCAGGGTGCGAAGGGCGAGCATGCCCTCAGCGAGAGGCACCTACTCATTAATCGCCGTGTCGGCCGACCATCCAAGGCGCATTCATGCTGATTACCCGCCTCCGCCAAGGGGCACCAGCCAGACATCTCCCCACAATCTCCCCCATATCTCGCACCAGCCGGACATCTCCCAATCATCTCCCCACAATCTCCCCCATATCTCGCACCAGCCAGACATCTCCCCGCAATCTCCCCACAATCTCCCCCATATCTCGCACCAGCCGGACATCTCCCCATCATCTCCCCGCAATCTCCCCGCAATCTCCCCCATATCTCGCACCAGCCGGACGTCGAGCTCCGACGAGAGTGCCTCGACAGGCATGGCTGGCGGACCTTGCGACGGGTCGTACCCGAGCGCCACCTGTCCACACAGTCACGGGGTGTGAAGGGACGCCGTTCACACCCTCTGGCCTCGTGCCCGATCTCTCACCTCCATCAGCTCATGCGCCATAGTCCGCTCGATGACAGCCTTGGTCTCCTCCAAGCCCGTGGCGATCCCTGCGAGGCTACTCACTCCGGACAACTCGGACGCCTGTCCACCACACACGACTCGCTCACTCCACGCGGACAGGTGGGACTAGCTCCCTCCGCACGGCCCCGAGGCGCCAGCAGACTCTGCGACGACGCGATCAGCTCCAGAGCGCCGGGGAAGTCGCCCGCCGCCAGCAGCTGGTGGATGGTGGGCTGCGTCTGTACCACGGCGAGCAGCAGCCGCAGCTTCTCGTCGAGCGCAACTGTGTTGGAGCGGCGGCGCACGAGGCGAGGCAGGTGCAGCGGCTGGTGCACCTGCCGCGGTTCAACTCTCAGCCAGTGAGGCGAGGAAGAAGACGTGCGACGGCAGACGCAGCGGCGGGGGCACCAAGTTGGTCTCGAGGTCTCGCAGCCGCTCACGCATCGCCGCCAGCTGCCGCACGCCCGCCTCGACCTCGGCGCCTGCTCACAGCGGCAGCTGTGAAGAGGCGCCGTTCACAGCTGCCGCTCGCCCGCCTCGCCCCTGGCGCCGAGCCGGTCATACGAGACGAGCGCCTCGAAGAAGCCTTCCGCTCGCG